ACACGTACTAGCTGTGTGACCCTGGGCAAGTCACTTAACCTCGATTGCCTCACCAAAAAAAAAGCAAAAAAAAAAAAAAAAAAAGACTTAGCCCTGTTTTGGGGGCAGCTAGGTGGTGCAGTGGATAGAGCACTGGCCCTGAAGTCAGGAGGACCTGAGTTCAAATCTGGCCTCAGACCAAACACTTGACACGTACTAGCTGTGTGACCTTGGGGAAAAAAAAAAAAGAACTGGCCAGTAACACATTTAGTAGCAGATGAATAAATGAATGACTAAAACATTTATTAAGCACTTACTATGTGCAAAGCCCTGTGTTCAGTGCTGGGGAGACAAACAGAAAGGTTGGACAGACCCTATCCTCAAGGAGCCCACATTCTAATGGAGGAAGACAGTACTCCTGGAAGGTTTCAGCTGCAAGTCAGAGGGAAGCCTCATGGTTCTTAGGGTAAACTGATAAAACAGTTGGCAACACTGCTTCCTTAAGAATTTTTAAATGTCATTCCCACTCAAATGTCATTCCTACTGATAAAAACCTAACAGTGTCTGATGATATAGCATTAGGGATCTCCTTCTATTTTTAGCTTCTGCTTCCTTACCAAGGGTTCTTAACCTGGAATCTCTGAACTTTTTTCCTTTTTAAAATAGCTATCTATCTATATCTACATAGAATTGGTTTCTTTTATAATCTTATGTATTTTATGCATTTTAAAACATGATTCCGAGGAATCCATAGGTTTCATCAGACTATCAGAGGGGAAATAAAAGGCTGAGAACCCCTGCTCTAGATCTTCTATACAGAGATCATATCTAATTCAATGCAATATATGGAGCAGATGTTTTCTATCTTCCCAGATTCCTTGGACCCTGGATATACAGACCTAAGAGTAACAAATATGACCCTGTGCTTATACAGGGAACCTCTCACGTCTGGAGAACAGGCTTTTCTTCTGACAAGAAGGAGGTAGAGGAATGAGGGGAGGTCACCCATTCCTGATCAAGTTATTCACAGAGCTGGAACTAGAACCAAGGTGGCTCAGTAGACAGAGTGCTAAGCATGGAGTCAGAAAGACCTGAGTTCAAATCGGACCTCAGATACTTCCTAGCTGTGTGACCCTGAGCAAGTCACTTACCTTTGTTTATCTCAGTTTCCTCATCTGTAAAATGATCTGGAGAAGGAAATGGCAAACCATTACAGTATCTTTGCCAAGAAAACCCCAAGTGGGGTAAGGAAGAATTGGACACGACTGAAAACTACCAAACAACAACAAATCCTGACTCCAAATTCAGTATTCTTCCCACGTATCCACTCCCTCCCCAATGCAATAAACTCCAGTTTATTACCTGTTACGTCCAGAATCAAATATAATATTCTCTGTTTATCTTTTAAAGCCCTTCAGAACTCATCTTTTGCTACCTTTCTAGCTTCTTATACCTTACTCTCCTCCACGTACTCTCTGATCCAGGGACAGATTGTTCGTCATACAAGATACTCTATGTCCTGACTTGCATTTTTATTGGCTGTCCCCCATTCCTGGAATGCTCTCACTCCTCCCCTATACCTCCTGGCTTCCTTGACTTTCTTCAAGACCGACCTAAAATCCCACTTTCTGCAAGAACCCTTTCTCATAATCTCTTAATGCTAATGCTTCCCTTAGAGAATATCTCCATCTTGTATCTATTGCATTTGTACATAATAATAGCTAGCATTTTATAGCACTTTAATGTTTACAATTAGAGGCAGCTAGATGACTTAGAGCAGAAGTTCCCAAATTTATTTAGTCTACCACTCCTTTTCAAAAAAAAAAAAAATTACTCAGTACACCCCTGGAAATCTATTTTCTTTAACCTTTAAATGGTTTTTTTAATATATCATTTCCAAAAAAAAATAGAAATTAAATTTTTTTGAAATGATACATCTTAAATTTAATAATTTGTGGGTTTCTTCCTGCACTGAAATTTTGATGATACAATACTTCTTCATGTAACTATTTAATATTGTATTGTAAACAAGTCATTACACACATATATTCCTGTGGATACATGCTGGACTTCCTAACAATGTGCTACACACTGGCCTACCAACACTTGCTTGTTAAGACCTGTCC